TTGCTGTTTTTGCCTCACCCGAGGCGGCTGGGCTGGCCTCTCGGGGACCGGGGTTGGGTTTCCCGGCTCTGCCTTGGCGCAGCTCTGGGTGGCACATCCACCTGCTCACCTTCAGTCCCCAGGAGCTGCAAGAGTGCGGTGATGAGGACCAGGGCCCCCCAACCTGAGACCACCCCAGCACTCTCTGGCCATGCCCCAGAGTGGGAGGCCGAGGAAGGAGGCAGACTCCTCAGTACAACCCCTGGCCACACGGCCTGGGAGATGCTGGTCCCTGAGCACCGTGGATCCACGAAAGCCCCCGAGACCCACAGAGGCCTCCTGCCACCTTGGGCATCCACATCTCCCCTGATGCTCCCCACAACCCTGAGCCCCTATTGTTCAGGTGAAGAAGTCGAGGATCAGAGAGGGAGGTAAATTCCCCAAGGCCACAAAGCAGCTGGCAGCAGAGCTAAGAGGCATGGAGTGCAGACCGCTGTCCTTCCTGCCCGCTGACCATTTCATTTTCTTAGTTGGATTTTCTTATTATCATAATTAGTGCCTTTTCATTATATAAATAACGTTTTTTCTTGGCCTTCCCACATTTTTCATCTCCCTGTTCCCAGCCTCATGTCCTTCTCTTCCTTCCCAGCAGGGCTCTCACTCGGCCCAGCCTCTGCTTCTCTCCCTTTGGGTCTGGGTCATCCTCCAGAGCTAAAGGCCTGATCCCCAGATTAGCGCTACCTGGAGGACACGGAGCCCGTAAGAGGCGGAGCCTCAGGGAGGAAGTTAGGCATTGGGGGCGTGCCCTCACAGGGGCGTGCCCTCACGGGGGCGTGTCCTCACAGGGGCGTGCCCTCATGGGGCGTGTCCTCGCAGGGGGCGTGTCCCCACAGGCCCCTCCCTGGCGCTCTCTGCTTCCTGTCCCTGTGAGATGTGCAGCCTCTTCCACCCTGTGCTCCCCACAACAGTCGGCCTCCCCACGGCCCCCAAACAAGTCACATGACCATGGACTGAGACCTGAGGGAAGGCAAGTCTTTCCTCTGTCAGCTGACTGCCTCAGGCATATCTTGTCACAGTGGAGGAAAACTGACCAACACAGCCAGCCAGGCCAGGGGAGGCCCGGGGCCCCTGGATGCCCACAAGTGAGTCAAGAGGAAAGATTGGAAGGTCATGGCGGTTGAAGGTGCCAGAGCGGACCCCAGGCCCCTTGGCCCAAAGTCCCCTTAAGTTCTGAAGGGTCGTCCTCCCAGCTGCTGGGAAGGTGGCCAGTCATTGTCCTCTGCTGGAGGAGCAGAGGCCAGGCCCAGTCCTGGGGTTCCCAGGGTCGGCTGAGGTCTTGTAGCTGCCCAGCTCCGCCCCTGCCCCCATCCTACCCCCTGGTGTGGCCCAGCTGGCTGGCACCCCCAGCTCCCTGTCCATCAGCTCTGGAAGCAAAGACTCTCTGAACAAGTGGCAGAGACCCTCAGTCGGCCCTGCAGGGAGCAGCTGCGGCCTGGGTCAAGGTCAGCGGTGGCAGCCCTGTTCTGCAAAGGGCCCGAATGGACATGCCACACACGTCCCTGGGTTGCACAACAGGAGGGTCCACAGCCGAGCCCAGGCCACACCTGCTCCTCACCTGATCCTCAGCTCACAGCAGTCTCTGTCCCTCTGTTGGCTTCTAGAAGATTCCTTTGCCACCCGTGGCTCTGTCAGGAAACTGACCAGCCCTGTCACGCCCAGAACCCCGGATCGTGATCACAAAGGCCTGCTGACGTCCACGTGCCCAGCAGGTACGTACCGAGCAGCGCCTGTCACCAAGTGCTACAGATGCCTTGGTGACCAAGATGGACAAAGTTCATGCCCTCTTGGAGCCTCCGTGCTGGGGACAAGGCACAATGAATGCAAGTTAAAGGCCATTGCTGCACAACAGGACACCCTGAGAAAGATGTCACCAGGGGTCTTGTCACTGCATCATGGAGCGTCATCATGGAGTGCCCTGTCGCCGTCTCATGGGACCACGGTCGAATTTGCAGCCCCTGGCACCTGCCACCACGTGGTAGGTCACATGGCATAAGTGCCAAGGCAGGGAGGTGTGTGGGGTATGAGCAGGGGTTAGAGATGAAGCTGAGTCCTGGCACCAGGGGAGCCCCGATGGGAGGACGGCTTTTTGGAGGGGGATTTTCCAGGGATTGAACTCGGGCCCTGAACCACTGAGCACACCCCCAGCCCTATTGTGTATTTTATTTAGAGTCAGTGTCTCACTAAGTGGCTTAGGGCCTTGCCATTTCTGAGGCTGGCTTTGAACTCGCCATCCTCCTGCCTCAGCCTCCCGAGCCTCTGGGATCCCAGGTGTGCTCACCGCGCCCCAAAGGAAGATGGTTTTTGACCCCAGGTGCAGGGCTGGCTGTGAGGGGCAGGCCTGAGAGCCCCCCCCCCGGCCTCCAGGGTGGGACCGGACACAGTGGACCTGGGCCCTCCTGGCCTCTCTGGCTGTTGTCCTGGCTGGGCCCCAGGCAGCCACCCCGGGAGGCATCTGCTAGTGGGCAGAGCGCCCCTGAGCCTGGGCTCCTGCCAGCGCCCCCAGCCAGCACCCCGCCCTGGTCCAGCTTACCACCCTGGGTGGCCTTCCCTCACCAGGAACCTGCTGAGCTGTACCCTGGTCACCAGCCCGCAGGCGCCTCCTGAAGACGGGCTGTGTTGGAGGCACCCCGAGAGCCCAGATGAAGGATTCACCACCCAGAGGTGCCCAAGGCCACCCAGCAGCCTCCCGCAGGCCCAGCACCTCGACTTACCAGGTCCCCCAGCCCTGCGAGTGGCCTGTCTGCCTGGCACGGTCGCCCTGGCTGCGGTTCCACCAGTGACCTTTTGTGGCCTATGCTGCGTGGTTTCCCCCCACAAACCATCTGAGGGCTCAAGGACAGTCCCCAAGCTCTCCCCGGCATGGACAGGACATGGGTCCCCTGGGCTCCTGTGTGTGCAGGGGCAGGGGGGACATCAGGTCCACAGATAATGCAGATGGCCCATAGCGTTTTAATTCCACCAACACTTATTTTTACTTTTGCAGGGACGGGGCTGGAAGCCAGGGCCTCACACACCAGGCACACCCGGTACCCCTGGGCCCAGCCCCAGCCCGCACCGACGGTTCCGTGGTCCCAAACACAAGAGCAGCAATTAATCTTTTGGCCTCTGTACGGTTTTGTTCAAAATCATTGAGAAAGGTCTCAAAAGCCGGAAGGGAGCCGCGGGCAGTTTCTCCTGGCCACCCCAAGCCCAGCCCTGGTCTGCAGCAGGCTGGCCAGGCAGCTGGCCAGGCACCTGGGAGGTGGGCTAGCCTCAGCCATGAGCCAGGACTCAGTCCACCCTGGAGCAACCAGACCTCCAAAGGCCAAACCCTGAGCTGACATGAGTGACCCATCCCAGACCTGGCAGCTCCCCAGATCACCCCAGGGGCTGCCGGCTGGGGGGCCCCCACCTGGCCAGCCAAAGTCAACTGGCTCCCGGCCTCTGGAAGTGCTAGTGCTTGGGGTCCACTGAGCTCTCTTGACTCCTCCTCCCAGGCCTCAGTGAATTTGCTACAGACTGGAGGTCTTATGCAGGTGAGTGAAATTCAAGCCCTTCATTCTCAGAGTCCAATGTCACTAGCTTGTCTCACGAAAAGACACCCAAAGTCCAAGAATCCTCCAACTGTTTGCCTGAAGAGATATCAAAAATTCTTTTTGTGAGGCAGACTCTGAGCCCATGAATGTCTAGCTTCAGGAAGGCAGAAATGATTAGGCTGCTTTAATGCCGCAGGGGCAAGCCTCCACTTGTAGCAGCCACGTACAGTTGTGCGGTCTGTGCACTGCAGGAATGCACCCAGCTGGGGTGTGGGGGGGCGGGTGAGCATGGGCACTGAGATCAGCCACACCGCACCCTCTAAGGCTAAGGATGACCCGGTTGGTTCTTTCCAGAGGGGGACGCACAAAGGAACAATGCAGGCTCAAACTCTGCTCAGAACATCTGCCACCATGGGGGCCTCTATGTCAGTGGCAGGATGAGGGCACAGGCCAGAGGCAGCTGGGCCAGAAGCAGCTGGGCCAGGACAGCGACCATCCCTCTGGCTCAGGGCTCCTTCAGGACCTGCCACTCGTGGATTTCACAATAATCTTCTGTCACAGTGATGACTCAGCCCTGCCCTTGGGCTACCCAGAGTCCCCAGCTCTCAGGAACACAAGTCCTCTTACCTGCAGGACATGGCCCTGCAGGGGGCAGCTTCTCCTGTCCTCACACGTCCACCCAGGTCATTGCTTAGATATCTGCATGGTGCTGACCACGGCCCAGCTAGTTCAGAAAGACTTGTGCCTTGTTCCTCGGGCACAGCTAACCCCGTGATTGACAGGCAGACCAAGGACGGCCAGAGCTCCACGTCCATCCTCCCCGTGACTCTGAGCGACATCTTCCTCCCTCGAGGCTCAATGGCCTCCCAAAAGGAAGGAGGACTATGGAAAGGGAGAGGAGGTCAGCCAGATGACCACGCTCAGACGGCCTCCACCCTCCTGAGCAAGTCCTTACCCCTCTGCAGTCTTGATCTCACACCTGTGGCCCTGGAGGTCTGGCGAGATAATCCTACGGGGACTTCCAGCACTGCCATTCCTCAGTTTGGTTTCCCTCTGAACCTGCTTGGGCTCATCCAGGGATGCCTCCGTTGCCCTAGTGTCTTAGTCTGTTTTCTGATGCTATAACAACATACCTGAGACTGGATCGCTTGGAAAGAATAAAGATTTGTTCTGGCTCACGGTTCTGGAGGCCGGGAAGTCCATCCTCTCAGCTTCTGGGGAGAGTCTTGTGTGTAACACGGGGAAATGTTGAGGGACAAGCAGGGCATGCAGAAGAGACCCAGGCCAGAGGAGGCCTCTTTGTAACAACAGTTCTTGTGAGAACACACCCACGGCAGGGAGGATGAACCGGGTCCCAGGAGAAAGGCATCAACCCCTCTCCACGACCTCGTCCCCTCTCGTAGCAACGCCTCCCAGCACCTCCAGTTCCAACCAATGCAGACTCACCCACAGCAGGTAGCACCAGGGGCCAGGTCCAGCCGCTCCTTGTGGGTGTTTTTATTAGTTAGTTGATTGATTTCACAGTAGAATGCTCCTTGACGTGCAGCACACAGACCGGGCTCGGCTTCTCCTTCCCTGGCTGCCCCTGGTTCCTTGTGGCTTTTGATTCCATGACTCAAGTCCTCGGAAATGCAAATCCTGGCAATCAGGCCGATGCCACCGTCAAAGCTGCTGACCCGGAATCCATCCCCGGGTTCCCCACTGTCGTCCAGGGCTGGACCCCGCTGAACCGCAGCGTGACATGGCAGGAAAGAGAGAGACAGCACTCAGCCAGGCCTTCCTGTGAAAATCCAGGCCTTCGAACAAACTTTTAAAAAAATTAATATATAAAAAAAAATCCAGGCATCGTGGCTGGGTTACGGTGTGACCTGGAGAAATTCCTTAACCTCTCTGAACCTCAGTGTCCCCATCTGGAAAAAGAGGTTTCCAACATCCACCTTTTGGGAGAGCTCAGGGGGGGCAGGTCCCATCTGGCGCAGGGTCCTCCTGTTATCATTCAAGCCACAGCCTGGGACAGCCAGGGCCGTGGCGCTGATTCTTGTCACCCGGGCAGGGCCTTCCCAGAGATAATTTAGGGGTCTGAGCCTGGGGTGGTCCCCATCTCCCCTGGGCTGCAGGATGGATGAGCCGGGTGCTGTCTGCAGGCCGCCTCCCCAGGTGCCCCAGGCTGTCCCACTCTCCGCCACGCTGTGCTAAAAAATGACTCCAATGAAAAAGGAAGCAGCCACTCGGGCCATAAATATTTCAGAGAGGAATGAGCGTCCTTCCCCAGCGCCGACTCGCCGTATATATTATTTATAAAACCATAACTTGAGTTGAAAGGTAGTCATCAAATGAAGAGCCCGGCTCGCCCATCCGCCCGCTGGGGCTCGGGAGACCCAGGAGGAAGGGAGCAGGGAGGGCCGGGCCACGCAGGTCACAGGAGGTCATCTGGCCCCAGCCCCTGACTCTGGCTTGGCCTGTAAGGGACAGGACAGGACCCCTGGAAGAGGCCCGTCCTCCCCTGCCCAGGCCACAGACCTCCAGGGTCACACAACCCAGGGCCTCGCTGGCTTCCTGGGAAGCTGTCATTAAATAACCAGCAAAAGGTCCCGCTGGACAGTTAAAAAAAATAATAATAAAAGTCACCCAGCGTCCTAGCAAGGGGTGGGAGGGCTTGTCCTGGGAGAGGAGGCCCCAGGGGCGCACAGAGCCCCCGTCCTGCTCCTGCGTCAGGTCGATGTGCCCTTGGGATTGATGCTCCCCTCTGTGACACGAAGGGACTCGTGGTCCTCACTGTGTCAGGCCCAGGGTGGCCAGCCTACAGGTATTCTGGGACCTTGACTTTCCCTCCGGGAATAAAGCTCCGGGATCCAAGGCCTGTCCGTGTGCTGGGTTTTAAACTCAATACGCAGCCAGGAGCAGATCGAGGGCCCACCGTCCTGGCCTTTCGGGAGGCTGAGGCAGGAGGATCGCTTGAGGCCAGGGGTTCAAGGCCAGCCTGGGCAGCACAGTGAGATCCCGGCCTCACGTGGCCACGCCTGTCACCTGGGGTACGAAGGCAATGTCCAAGGGAAGTTCTGATAATGGGGCCGTGTTTCGCCGTGGAAGCGCCTGGCGTGACTGGAGAACACGGTGAGGCCATGACCTGGGGCCCTGCGCCCAGACAGCCACCAACGTGTCACTCCCAAATGCAGGTAGTGCCTGGGGCTGCTCTGTCCCGCTCAGGATGTGACTGTTGGAAGCCATGAGCCCTCCTGGGAGAAATCCTGCCCCCCCATGTCAGGGTCCCGGGGGCACCGAGTGTGCCAGAGAGGGTCCCTGTCACCCCTGCCTGGAGCCGTGGCTGGCCTGTGTCCATGTTTGACCTCTCCATGATGTGCTTCCCGCAGAAAAAGACACAGAAAGCCCAAAGAGGGAAAGGAAAGTCACTGACATTCCCCGGCCCGCGGTGGCTCCTGTCCCCTGTGGTCATTCCCATCTAAGGAGGGGAAATCCAGGGTCCAGTCTGGAGAGAGCCCGTGGGGGGGACAGCCCCATCATGGTGCAGAGACCCGTGAGTCACCACCTGAAGGGAAGCCCTGTGGGCAGACAGAGGACCTGGGAAGGACTGGGGACGGGGCTGGCTGTGGAGCTCTTGGCTAGTGTGAGGACCTGGGCTCCATGGGCAGCACCCAGGGCAGAGGAGGGGGAGGGGGAGAGGGAGGGAGGGGGGAATGGGGAAGGGAGGGGGAGGGGAGGGGGAGGGGAGGGCTCAGGGAGGAGATTCCAGGCCCCAAGCTCCGCCCAGGGGGCTTGGGGGCTTCGTGGAACCTGGGGACAGGCTGGGAAGGATGGGGCTTGGCAGAGTCTTCCTGGTGGCACCTCGTTCAGAGGGAACACAGACTGAACCCCTCCCTGTCCCTATCCCAAGGGTGCTCTGATCAGGCAAGTGACACCAGGCAGGTGGCCGCTGCACTCTAGTGTCCCTGCCTGCTGCGTCGTCCCCCATCCTTACAGGACACAGACCTGCCACACAGAGTCATGGCACAGAGGTCCTGGGGACCCGTGAGGTCCATGGATTGGGGACGTCTTCTTGGAGCTGCGGGACAATGGCAGGGGACAGCGTGCCTGAAGGCCCCTGGCCCAGGCAGGTGGACTCCGGGCTTCTGTGCTCAGAAGGTGAAGCAGGGTACAGTCCCCAGTCAGGGACCCACGGAAGGGGGACACGGGAGTCATGGGAACACCTCGGCTGGGGGGATGCAGCCAGGCTGGTGTGTCCCGGAGGGAAGGGAACAGGTCACTCGGGGCCCAGAGGCCCCTCACCTGCCCTCCTGGTGGGTGTGCACAGCGGTGTTGAGGAGCCCCATGCTTTGGGGACAGTGAATTGCTCCCTCCAACGCGTGTTTCCACCCCCAGGTCCCAGCAGGACCCAAGGCCACGAAGGCCCCCTTCTCTCGAGCCCGTCCCCAGGCCACCCTCAGGGTCCCCTGAAGCTGCCCATCCAGCTGGGTCCTCCACCAACCTCCTCCCGTCGGAGCCACCACGTCCCCCATTAAAAAAAAAAAAATCAGAAACCACTGGAGAAGCCAATTTGCTAGAAGGGAGCAGAAAGCAGCAACTGATTCCGTTTTTCCCCAAAGGAAACTTGAGTTAATTGGGGGGTGACTCACGCTCCAGGCCGCCAGTGACAACCCAGCCATCCAGACGGCCCTCCCGCGCCCAGCCGCCCCCGCGGGCCCCAGACTCCCTCCCAGGGGAGGCCAGGGCCCTGGACGCACAGGGGACCTGGCCACCTCGCACCTACCCTGCCGCAGATCCCTCGCCCACCTTGACCTCTGCACACCTGTGGGGGGGTGTCCGTTAATGGAGGTAACGCCCCCCACCCCCCATCCTTCAGCTCTGGGAAGGGGGCTTGGCAGGCTGGGCGAGCTCTGGTGGGCTGCCACAGGGATTCCTGGCCCATGGGTGGAGGCCCCAGGTGGACCCCGCTGCCTCCTTAGGGTGAACAGAACACTGGCACCCTCCCCCAGTTCTCCTCCATGGCCACCATTTCTCATGAAAGCAGCCCATGCAGCTCAGACAGAGGCCCCCAAGTCAGGCCCTAGAGTGAGACCCCATATTGTCATTCACATGTATGCTGTGTGACTTTGGGCAAGACACTTCACCTCTCTGAGTCTCCATTTCTTCATCACCTGGTTATACACGAAAGTTCTTAATGCCACTGAATGATGACATACTAACATGGCTAAGATGGTAACTTTTAGAGTATGTGTACTTTACCAGCATTTTTAAAGGCTGGAAAAAGAATAAGGAAAGGTATACGTAAGCTATTCCTTTGCTCTTTCCCCTTTGAGTGGATTGTAGACAACAGCAGGAGCTGGGGCAGCCATACTGGACCCAGAGAGAGCCCACAGTAGCAGCAGCTTCCTGCTCACCCGTCTTGCAGGTCAGGAAGAGGGAAGAGGGCAGGGGGCTGGCAGCCTTCCACCGTCCAGGCTCTGTGTGGCCTCAAGGCAGCCCCTCTGGCTCAGCATTGGGGGTGCAGGGAGGGGAGGGACAGAGCGGCTGGCAGCAGAGACAGGAGGGCTTCTCGCCTCCTGGGGAAACCTTGCTGCCCAGAAGGGACAGGGCTGGGGCATGGCTGGCCTAGCGCGGGCGAGGCCCTGGGTTCCATCCCCAGCGCCGCAGAAGAAAAAAGAGGGACAGAGGACAGAGATTCTTTCCAGGGTGAGCTCAGAGGACACCCCTGTGGGCTGTCCCCAGGCTGCCCAGCTCAGAGGTGCGTGGCCTCGACTGCGGCCCGAGGTCCCCACACTGAGCAACTGTCCTCTCGTGATGTCCAAGGCTGGGGACAACGGCCAATTTCCAGATGGTCAGTCACCCCTGGGCCTGACCGGGCCCTTGGCACTGGCCAGGGAGCCCTGTGTTGAGGCTGAGCGGGGTTCAGAGCCGCTCTCCAGCCCATGTCCCTCCGCTGTGGCCATGGGAACCAGCTGCCCTGGGCAGAGACTCCAGCTGTGGCCACAGCCTACAGGCCAGAGAACTGCCCGGGTCCCCGAGCTGCCCTCCGTGTGGAGGCCTCTGCTCCTCCTGAGGTCCTCAAGGCCCTCGCACAGGGCCACCTCCCTCCTGGGGTTCCTCAGGGTCAATTTCTGGGGAGGAAAGGGCTCCCCAGGCCAGCACGGAGTCCATGGCAGAGCCACAGTGACCTCCCTGCAGGCTGTGCCCCCCCCTGGGGGCCAGTGAAGTCCTGTCACTTTATTTGGCTGACATGTGGCAGTCCTTGTGGGCCCTGCACCAGCCGGGGAGGGGACCGTGGCCCAGTAGCTCTAACTGGTGGGGGAGGTGTCCTGACGGGGTGGCACAGCCCCTCCAGCCCCTGATTCCCAGGACCCTCAGGTCCCTTCCTGCAGCTGGCCTTGGGCCTGTGACCTGTGGCCAGGGTCCCCTCCTCCCTACCCCACCCCTGCCCTCCACCTCCCCTGTAGGTCGTCCCCCTCCCACCTGGACATCCTCTGCTCTCCTGCCTCCTCCGCCCTGGCGGTTGGACTTGGCTTCTGTCCAGGGAGATGGGGGCTGGGGAGAGCCAGCTGGGGGCACTAGGTCAAGGTCAGGATCCACAGCTCCGGAGTCCACCTCCCCTCCCTGTCCCTCTCATGGGGACTCCCACGAGGTCGCACCGCCACTTCCCCAGAGCGCCACTAGGTGGCGCCCAGCTGACGAGGATGGAGATGGACCAGCCGGACAGCAGAGCCTGGCCCAGAGCCGCCCCCTCCCAGTGCTGGCCCCTCCCTGGTCCCCAGGTCCCAGCGCCCCCACCCCTAGCCTGACTCCCCCGCAGACCCTGGGCCTTGGCGTAGTCCAGGGGTGAATGAGACCCTGGCATGAGGCGGGCCCAGCCTGGGGCCAGGGGGTGGTAGTGCCCCTTGTAGCCCTCCAGGGTAGGACCCACCTCTGCCTTGGCCCCGTTGGGTTCTGGGGGTGGTTTTAGGTCCTGCACAGGGAGGAGAAGGCCTAGGTGCCCCCTCCCCTAAACCAAGGGGCAGAGGCCCGCCTGTGCGGGGGTCTTTGGGAAGGGCTCCTTTACTTGTCCCCACAGTCACTCTGTAAGGGCTTTCCCAGGG